CCTCTAGTAATATATTTACTGAGAAAAATGGTGACGTGTTCAATACTTATTTTACCCGCTGTATATATTTAATACAAGCAGAATTAAATAAAGGAAAGACTCAACTAAAGGACACATGTCCCTGCTGTGATTCATTGCTCTAAATGACTGTGTATGAGAAATGTGAGCAAATCCTGGCCCTTAAACAAAACCACCCATTTGACCATGACTGACTAAGATTGGCTGCTGCCAGGTCACAAGTTGGCTGAGATGAGAGAAGCCATCTTTAATAGTTTGCTGTCCAGTCTTTCACAGGCGCTTCAACTCCTCCAGGAGGACCACAAACCTCCTCCTGCACCACAGTCTGCTTCAGCCTGGCTCTTCTACAGCAGCTTAAAAAAAGAAGGAAAGTTTGTTAAAACGGCCCTGAGGTAGATATTTACAACATCAATTTGAGCTGAAAAGTTCAGATATGTAAAAAACAAAAACAGGGAAGTTTGATGAATGATGTTGACTGTAGGTAAGCCAGACAGCTTTTTCTCACCTTTTGATAACATGACTAGTAATAATAATTACACACAGACTGTGAGGTGTGTCATTCAGAACTAATAATTAGAAAAATGGGTGTGGTGACGGAGTTCCTATAAGCTCACATCTTTAGTGGAAMAAAGACAAAAGCTCACAAATATTACAACTTACACCATGCATCACAGTAAAATATACAAATTATGTCACAAAGTATTATCGTACRTGTATCACATTACGAATATCAGTATAGTGTATGAGATTAAAAACACTTATTAACATAATAACTGCTCCATCTTGCTCAAGTGAATAAAAATATTGGTAAAAAAAGATGTGGAACGTTAGAAGGATCAAATCAGAACAAGGAATGGGAACAACACCGCGATTCCACAAACTACCTGTGGTGTTGAAARGAAGTGAGCTTTTGTCTGTACACTGATCATATATTCCCATGGCTTGTCAAAATACTTGTTAAAATAAAATAAATAAAAAAACCTTCATTTTGTCGACAACAACTCTCCCCAAATTAGGTAAAATTCTGATGCTCCAGACTAACTTCAGGAGACCAAGTCAACAGTTCAGWTAATTTCACAGCTGTAGTAAAGATCAGTTAAAACTCAGAGCAGCTGGAAGATTTTGGAAGTCCTCATGTCTCACATTCAGAAAATCATCCCCATTTCATAATATCACCTCCACCGTGTTTCACTGAATGAAGGGAATAGTTTTCCCCTCACTTTCCCTTTAATCTTTTTTCATATAAAACATTTCAATCACAAGTTTTTTGGTACACAAAGTTAATTATTTTTTTACTTTTTTATAATTTCGTAATTTGGTCATGTGTGAAGTTAAACTATTTTTCAGAGTTACGTTTTTTTTTTTCCTGGAAGCTCCTGCTGAAGTTTCCTGGAAGGAAACCCAGCTTCAGTAAAAGTGCCTCAATATAGATAATCTTTTTTATTTTTTCATTTGAAAGTTTTACCATTGTAGTTGTTTTGTTAAAGGTTTATGATTTGACACTGATCTGATTTTGTTTTCAGATTGTTGGTCTTTTGCCCCCTCTTGTGTTTGAATTGGCTCATTCACTTTCTGTATTAATGACTCAGCTGATGTGTTGAAGCGTGACTTAAACTTTCTATTCACGTGTTTTAATAACCCTAAATTATTACATTTACTTTATATTTGTGTTTGATTGACTTTGTGTCTCACTAATTAGTCTGTGCTGTTTCTTTATACCAAACATAAACATCCTGATGCACTGCATTCCAGCAGTGTTTTACTTTCTCTTCCTCAGCCAGAGCACATTTTTTTATTCAAATTAAATTGATGAGAAAACAGTTTTTGCAAATTAAAAATAAATTCAAAAGTTTTTTTGTTCGGAGGATGAAATTATCCCTCCACGTTATTTCAGGTCAGCCTGAAGCTCTTTAATATCTTTTATGATGATTTGTTCAACATCACTAATCTTAACAAACTTTTATTTTAGGATCTTTAATGAATGGCTTTCAGTGCCTGCCGTAGAACGTATTTCATTGGAGGCACATGTTGTTCACTCATTGTGCTTTTGTCTGTCTGTTAGCAAAATATCTCAGGAACCACTGAATGGATTTTAACAAATCCCTCAGAAAGTAATCACTGACAATTGGCCTGCAGCTGATTCCGTTTTTGAGTCAAATCGATTTAAAAACCGAGCTCAGCAAACACAAAATGGTTGTATTTCACTGTTTTGGAAATACTGAGCTGAAATTTAATGTGGTAGTAGATAATGGTGATCTCTTACACTCATTCTGAAGGCTAACAGGTACAGTAAATGCATCAAGCGACAGGCAAAATGTAATTTTTCACATTTCTAATGCCCTCGGAAACTTGCTTTCCCTTTAATGTTATGAAAAAGTGTACTAAACATCATACATTTTATAATCCAAATCAAATTAGGCAGAGATTAGTGATTTTAAAATTATTTTTAAAAAGTGTGCATCAAAATAATTCAGCAAAACTGATTTGCAATTCAGAGGTTCACGCAAATTTTCCATAACAGTGTTGTGTTATGTAACCAAAACAGGAAATGTTTTTATTCTGACAGTCTGCCTTTTTGGAGCAATCTGCTCCGAATAGGTAAATCTACATGTTTGATTCTTAAAACGCCAAGCATTTTTGGAATTTGTTGTAGGCAAAGCTGTTGGACCAAATGACCAACTGGTGTCACCACTCACCTGCTGAAAAAAACTTCAGTTTTAAAATAAAGTGTTTCATTGAGAGGACTCTGCTGTGTTTGGGTCACATTATCGACTGTCTTTCAGTAATCTTGTCCACGACCATCAACAGTATCCTGAAACCTGACAAAGATCCATTCAGTTGGGTTGTGGATGAAGCAACAAATCTTGTTTAGTCACTACTCGCAGTATCAGGACAAGATTCCTACAACCAATGAAAGGACTCATTAGTAAAGTACTTGATCTAGTTTTTCTCAGCCAACAAGTATCTGTAAAAAGGAGGGGGGGAATAAACAAATAAGCTGTAAAAAAAAAACAGTGAGTTTTTCATGGTAAAATCACTTTTTTTATTGAATTCTGATTATTAGGTTGAAACGATTGGAATATATCAAAGCTGAGATTACGCTTGCCTCCACTTATCAAAAATATTTACTTTATTTTAGTTTTCAGTTTTCCTGTTTAAGTTTTATTGCAAGTTTAATCTTCCAACCAATGAAACTTGAAGTTCCTTTAATTGTGTGGGTGGAGAATGGCATCTGGAGCATTTTATTCTGACCTTATGGCAAAAGAAACACTTATGAGGAAGAAGAAAATGAAAATACAGAGAATGACTGGGTGATGTGTGTGTGTGTGTGTGTGTGTGTGTGTGT